TTCCTCTAACGAACTTCGTGCTCCGAAAAGTATCGTTCGTTCCAAAGGAGTGTGCTGTTTGCCGTTTATCACGGCTCTCTCATAAGAAGGAGGGAACCAGGCGTTAGCCGGGCGGTCCGACTGTCTCCATATATAAAGCGGAGTTTTGTGTGTCTTTTCGTATGCCCGTTTGTGCGTCCTTCCGGAAGTCACTTAGGCACGATGAAGAGTGTGAATGTCATGTGAGCGCTGTGATGAAACAGTTATGAAATGGAAAGTTAACCAATACTGTTCGTATTAGTCCTCTAACAAGTCATAGGTAAGCGGTGGTGGGCATATGGTGCACGCATGAGCGTGCGTAGCCCAACTGGTACATAGAATTCCTTAGAAATCTAATCTAATCGAAATTTCTAATTTTAAATGTGAATTTCGCTCGCAGATTCGCACACCAAAAGACTATCCACTTCCCAATACTTCAGTAGCTAGATGAGATTTTCCAAATTTGGAACTTAGGCGAAATCTATACCACAGATCATCATATGTAAAGCGCTTGCGTCTAATTGTTTGTTCGTTTGTTCAATTGTACAGAAATTCGATATTACCTTACGGAGCACATCACGTTCATAAGTCGGGTGATGTTTGGAATGAATTGGGCATAGATCAAAAGATCAAAAGGACACATTTGAGCTCGGCAAAACTCCTCCTTCAAGGGTAGCACATGCACAGGGTGGGGGTTGTCATGGGCGAAACTTCCTACTTTATATAAAGCGCTCCTGTCTGCTTGCCTATCCGTCCGTCCGTCTCTCTTTTTGCACGGAAATTCATAAAGCCTGTCCTCTTGGACCTCGAAAGTTTAAATTTGGTAAGAGAACCCGAGGCAGGGTGGGAACAGTGATGGTGAGTGGCAGGATCGGGCCACAGGAGGCGGGTTTCGTGCCAAAATTGTCAATTTGGTCCTAGGGTATTCGAACTTGGCAGGAGTATAGGCGGCAGGAGGGAACACTCATGGTAGGTGAGAGGACCGGACTCGTGTATAGAAGGCGAAATTCGATTCGATAAATGTTTGAGCGGAAACCCATAACTCCTGATCCGTGGACTTTGAGAGCAAAATCAGTAGGAGTAGAGGGGACAGGATGGAAACATGGACGACAGAGGAGGCCTTAGAGAACAAGGTCCAATCACGAATTGAATAGTAGCGCCTCTGTTATGTACTATCTACCTTTGGTTCTTTGATATGTTTCATTCGACAAGAAGGGTAAGTGCGCTGATGGGGACCGCTAATGAAAATTGGTTCACTTCTTACTTACGTCCGCTACTCAGCAAAGTTTGCGATTCAATAAAGGATCACGGTTTCTCTCTGCTTTGATACCATTCGAGGCAAAACTTATCCGACCGCTAACAAACTTGGGTTCTCATTTAATGATAAATCCGTAGAAAAAAAGAGCCACATCCATAAGGACAATGATAATGGTATTATTATGACTCGGCAACATTTGTGAGTACCATTCAAGGCTTTTAATGCCTACCATTTGAATCTACAATGGGTCATTATTTTAAACATCGACAGCGACAGTTCGAGACAGACAGATTCTAATCGAAGGCATAGGCATCGGCACATTTTAAATATCGTTTGCGTGCCATGTTGTTCCTCTAACGAACTTCGTGCTCCGAAAAGTATCATTCGTTTCAAAGAAGGAGGGTGTTGTTTGCCGTTTATCACAACTCTATCATGCGAAGGAGGGAAACCCGGCGTCAGCCGGGCGGTCCGACTCTCTCTATATATAAAGCGGTGATTTTGTGTGTCTTTTTGCATCCATCTTTGTGCGTCCTTCCGGAAATAACGTAGGCACGGCGAAAAGTGGCTGCTTTCATCGTCCGCAAGCCGGCCGGCGTGCCAGCGTGCCAGCCGAGGTAGTGCTGGGAGGGGGGAGGGAGGCAGACGGAACCTTTCGACGCGATCGCGCCGCGCCTAAGCCCCGTCAAAGGGCTGAAAAGAAAGAAGAATAAGATTAAAGCAGTCCGTATATGCCCGTCGAAGGGGCTCGGGCGCGATGAGAACGCGTCGAAAGGTCCCATCTGCCTATCTCCCCCCTCCTAGCATTACCTCGGCTGGCACGCCGGCCCGCCTGCGGACTACGAAAGCAGCAAGTGTGAATGTCACGTGAGCGTGGTGAGAAAATAGTTATGAAATTGGAAGTCAACCGATACTGTTCATATTGGTCGTGGTAGGTAAGCGGTAGTGGACATGTTGTGCACGCATTTGCGTGCGTAGCCAAATGGTTGATATAAGAAGTACAACTCGAATTGCGGGTGTGTTGGTATATCGGTCTGCGGTCTGCCTGTGGATCTGTCCATCCGCGAAATTCATGATCACGGTAGAGGTAGCAATTTAGAAAGCCACCTGCAAACTTAAACATTAATAAACCTTACTATATTTGAAGCGTTCGCGTCTGCCTTTCTGTTTGTCTGTTTACTGCTTGTTATGATAGAGGTAGTGATTATGAGAGAGGTAGTGCGAAAATTCGATATTATCTGAAGAAGCATCTGCAGAAGTCGGGTCAATTTTGGTATGGGTTGGGCATAGTACACAACTAACAGCGCACAAGTGAGCTCAGCGGAGCTCCGCCCACAGCGGGGCACGCACGACAATGATCGCTGTCTTGAGCAAGATGTGAGAAGAGGGTCTCATAACATCCTCGACGCCGAGAAAAAATGGGCGAAGGTGGGGAATGGGTCAACAAATGAAGTGAAGGAGTCTCACCGTCGGTGGGCGTAGCGCTCTCGCAGTGGGCGGTACTTACTACATAAGGTCATAACTGGATTCTATGAATGCGTGAAGGCCAGAAAAAAGTAAACGCAAATGACTAAGGCCTTATGCGTGCTCGTCACCCGTGAACATGCCGATGTCTCGCTCACAGTGAGGCATGCATTCAAATGTTATGTCCCCCTCGATAAAAACCCTAACTCTGTCTATACATGTTCTATAATGTGGAAAATAAATGGTTAGAGGCTGTAGAAGAAATGTGGTCGCACCCGTGAAGTAGATGGAGCTTGCGCAAAGTGGGCGGCCAGTGAGGATCAGAATCCGTATCTCTGATCAAAAAAGTGTTAGAGTGGTAAAAGCGACACCTGTTTCACATCCCGTCGATCATCGATTTGCTTGAACGGGCACCAGCAACGTCTCCATTCGTCCCTGTCGTGAGCCAAAGTAGTCTCGTAAATCGTACTCGCTCGAGAGGCACGGAGCAAAACACTCCTTCTGTTCAGAGGAGCTTGTGTGAAGAAGTGATCGTCCTTGTGTTCGTTTGACGTCCTGAAGGGTGCGGTCGGTAACCGCTCTGCTCCAACGGCCATCGCTATATTGCATGACGTGCTTGGCCCATTTGATTTTCGACTTCTTGACGTGATCAATGGCATCCTTGATCTTCGTTCGGTCACGGAGATCGGAACTTCGGTTTCTCTCCTGCTCCCGCGCGTATGGGAAACTCCGAGCATTATCCTTCCCAAAGCGACTTGGGAAGCGCTGAAAGCATGTCCATACTGTTTTTAAGATCCAAGTTTCCGAGGCGTACGTCAAAGCAGGAAGGACCGCAGTATCGAAAAGGTTAGCGCTAAGCCTGATGTTATTCGTCTTCTTCACTACTCCCTCCATACTTATAGATGCTCTCTATTCTGCGCGTTTCCTTCTGCTCAGCTCCGGAGCTAGATCGTTCATCATATTGACTTCCCGACCTGGACATACACGACTAGAGCATTCAGAGATATTCGTTCCGTTCAACTTGGAAGGAGCATCACGTCCCAATTCGTTCCGCATGAGCATCGTCTTTGTTAGGTTCAGCCTCAAACCGATCTTTCCACAAGCACTATCAAACTCGGCTAGCATTCGTTCCGCCTGCTCGATGTTCGGTGTTATAAGCACGATGTCGTCTGCAAAGCGGAGGTGATGTAGGAAGCGGCCATCGACCTTGACTCCCAAGTCTTCCCATTCCAAATGACGCATGATGTTTTCGACTGAAAATTGGGGCGAGATGGTATCGGCCTGTCGAGCCCCACTCTTCACGATTATGATGACTTCTTCATAGAATGGCGAGGTCCTGGTCGTGAGGTTGTTGTAGAGCTCACTACGTATCCTAATATGTACAGGGGGCGCCATAAATATGGTAACAAGTCTTCGGACGTCCATAATTTTCTTATTTGGAGGGTTTTTTCTTAATATGCACCTCCCCTTATGTTTGTGACATACCTTAGATCACATATCTATTTTGGTACTCTCAATTCCTCAGATTCCGAGAAACGGTGGAGCCTCGCGACATCCACCGACCTTTCCTCCTTTGCGCGCATTTGGTGAGTCCTTTTCCGGGATCGCTCCTTCTTGCAACATTTCACGCATCACAATCTATTGAATCGCGTTGCGTAGACAGGTCAACAACAAACTGCAATACGGTCGTCTTGTTTCACATACGACCCTTCTTCCGAATACAATTGCGTGGGAAGGAGCACCAGCGGAACTTGCAGAAACACAAGAAAAACGATTGCTGGTTTGCTTATATGTCTCAATCCGATGGGAAGAGCCTAGACAGAGTAAACACAATTGTATCCAAATAAGATTCAAGAACCTTATAAGCTTCTTGACGAGAAGAAGTTGAAGAGAAAAAACAAATGCCGTGCGCTACTTGCACGCGGCACGCGCTTCGACGCACTTTTTTTGTGACTAAAGGGTGTTCAGCGTGGAAGAAATTTTGAGATCCCAAAGTATACGTATATTTCACTCTATGTAGGAGCGCTGAAACCGCTGGAGAAGGGCCAGATCGCCTCTCATAGCCATTTTCCCTTTTTCATGATTGTTTGGGCTAGAATCTCCACCATCATAGCGATATCGCAAATTTTGGTCCAGAAAAGTACAAAATTTATTCTGAACCTCTTTAAGAAGGGGTTTTCTGAAAAGATGCAGCTGTTACTGAAATTAGTCCTAGGGATCCGATTTGAAAACTTAGGCGCACTTGCTCATGAATGAGAGAAGATCCAGGTTGGTGCTTAAGGAATTTTTGTGACCAAAGCCCACCTTCCAATCCTTCTACGGATTTCCCGGAAAACAATGTGACGGGTCGCAGGATATAGTCCATACTGGAGAGAAAAGCCTGCGCTCCAAATTGCACCACTGCTGCTGTTCTGAGATACCTTTGGACGTGCCGCCGATGATGAGTGGCCAAAGCGTTTTCGAGCTGTAATCAGAACAGGAGACGGTTATATGAGACGACCGTGTGCTCATTTTGTAGACGCGATGCATAGTAAATACCTGGTGTGCAAAACTTAGGGACGAAAGCAACTTCCGATTACTGTACCTCTGCCAGACGACAGAGCTCGATGAACACTATACCGTATCAATAGAGTATCATTATGGTATTGCACAGGAAGCAACCGGCATAAAATCGAAGTAAGACGAGCAAATAAGACATTTTCATTGAAGGGTACCGATTAAACATAGTTGCTTACAACTTATCCTAGTACTTCAAGAAAGCGACGTGGTTCCTAATAGGGTGTGTGATTACCACGGACAGCAGTAAATGCTCTGCAACGCGATCCCATACTTTCCACGAGGTTGGAAATGAGTTATTGTGGAGGGCATTCCACTCCTCTATCAGCGCAATTGACAACTGCCTGATGGTTATTGATGCATTTGGATGTGCTGCAATGCCTCTACCCAGTGGCATCCTATACGTGCTCGAGGGTATCCAGGCTGGGAGAACGGGCAGGCCCCTCCATTCGCTGGATAACTTCTTGGGTCAAGAGAGGTTCCACCTGAGATGTTCGATGCGGTCGCGCATTGTTGTTCATGAAAATGACTTCAGGGCTCACTGCAGCCCTGAAAAGATGCACATTAGAGAGAGGTTCCTTTTCACAATAACGCCGAATGTTAGGAGTCCCATGCTTAAAAATCTGGAGGTCAATAAGGTCACGAAGCATGATGCCTCCCCATACCGTAACACCTCGACCACCAGAACGATCAAGTTCCACAACACTTCTGAGAGAAGTGCCAGTGGCCATGAGGGTGCGTCCAGAATCACTACTCAGACTAAATCCGCTCCCATCCGCAAAAAGCAAACAGCCCCATCTCTCATCGGTCCGCTCGCTATGCTCCTGGCTCCACCCTAAACGGTCTCGCCCATTCGCAAGGGTCAAAGGAACACCACGTAAAGGTCGTCGGACGAAGAGTCGCATTCGTGCAGTCGTTGTGCCACTGTTGTGCTTGGGATGGCTTGCTTTGAAATCCTGTTAAATAACATTGCAATCGAAGAAGCTGACTGAGGTGGCTCTCTTCTTGCCTGATGCACAATGTAACGGTCATACCTTAGTGTAGTTGGTCTTGGTCGACTACCTCCTCTCCTTCGTACAGCAGTATCAGAGTTTCGGAATGCTTGCCGTGCATGTGAAACAACGCTGCGAGCGATAATAAACTACTGAGGTACACTACGCATGGTTCGACCTTTTTCGAGTTTCCCAATACCCCTATCTCGTGCCAGGTCACCCAGTCGACGTCTGCGGGATATGATGTATAGAAGGATAACACCACAGTACCTGGTAGCTATTGGCTGATTGACAAAAAAACTTCTTTCGTACCTAACAGCTGCCTCGATTTATGCAGGGAGCCATATTTCTCGCTTTATTTGAACTATTCCTCTACGAAGGGATGTCCAACTTCTTGTGCATAACCGTCATAGGTCTGGCAATATAATCCCCTACTTTCATTTATTTTCACCCAGTCCTCAGTTTTATGTTACATTATTCATCTCATCCCTAAGTTTTGCACACCAGTGTAGTTCACATAAATTCACTATGTATCAACATGAAATGCTGTTTCTGTAGCCAAATTATTTTGTTACCATATTTATAGCGCACCCTATATATTGAGTAGGGACACCCTGGTTGCCCAGTGGTTCATTACCCGCTTCTGCCTCGTTGGTATCAAAGGCTTCTTCGAATCGATGACCGTAAGACATACTTTGATACTCTTTCGACACATCAATGAGTCTTTTAACGGTGTGGATGTGATGAACTGTACCAAATCCTCTTTGAAACCCTACGCACGCGGCTATTCTTCATCTCACATTTTGCCACTCCCTCTGAAGATGTGAATATTGTGTAGGTTGCAGACTGTCGCAGATTCTGCGATAGTTGCCAATATCGTCAAGATTTCCTTTCTATGCAGCAACATAGTCTTGCTGATTCCCACAAAGCGGGCACTTTGCATTCCGATAGGTACCGCGTGAAGAGCTTAGCCAGAGTACTAATGATGAGAGGTGGAAGACTCCTTACACGTTCCGGTCTGACCCTATCGGGTCCGGGCGCCACACGATTCTTCATCGACGTGAAGGCATGTCGAATTTCGGAAGTTAGAACTGAAGGGACGATATATCCGGCTCGCCTAAAATGGTAGGCAGGTAGACGTGGCTGTCGCAGAGATCTGAGCAAAAGTCGTAGATGACCTTCTCCATTGCCTTCCGGGATGCAGTAACTGTTCCGTCAGGACGACAAAGGGAGGCCATCTCGGCCTTATAATTGACAATGCTCAATGCTTTGCGAATGCTCTTCCCGACATCAGCGGCTTCTCCCTTTCAGATCTTCCGCTAGCTCTCTGCATAGCTTGGCAAATTAGAACGTTTGTTGATGACTATTTACCTGCAGCTTCTGCAATTCCACGCTGGCATATCAGCTCGGGAGTTAAAAGGAAGACGTTCCTCGGCTACTTGTAGACTATCATAATGGAACTGTCCACCAAGTAACTCCCATGTCCACCGGGAATGAGAGGGCTTCTGGAACTGCGAGCTACCATGGATAGTGTGGGTAGATATGATGAACTCGGACAGTTTTTCATCCTGCTCCTTCCACTCCGTGAATTCCGATATGGTGCTCTTCAGCCCTTCTTCTGGGGCCAGTCTTATTAGCGTCAAAATCATCGACGATGATCTTGAAAAACGTATGCTCTTTGTAGAGCCTTTCCGGGTACATACAGAGCGCTTCCAACTCATCTTCGCGGTTGCTCGATGTTGGTGCGTAAACAACGAAGACTGTTACAGCTGAAGTTGAGCCACATTTTCTCAATCGCAAACGCCCAATTCAGGTTGTTGAGCTTTCGTACCACTAGATGATCATGATCATGTGCGTGTTGTCGAGGGCACTTAAACCGCCAACGCTTCTGCTGTCGCACGTTCCGAGGTACAGTCCTTCTCCAGTTCCGAAGATGTCGTGCAACGGGCAGCTTGTTCTCGTCTAGGTCCCTCTGATGACGTCGCACTTGCTCTTCCTGGCTTGCGTCATCACAACTTCAATGCACGCTTCCGATGCAAGCGTTAGTGCATTGAAAGTTTAGATCGCCATGTCAGTCCTTCTCCTTTAAGGCAGCCTTCCATGTCCCTGAAAATCTCGCAGCCTCTTCCGAGCAGCACTATCCAACGCGCTGCCTCAGGCTCGAGAATGAGGATGAGGCCCACTTTTATTACTGTTCTTGGCATGTCAATATCTACGTAAAGCTTGCCAGGCTCTCACTTGTGGGACCTACTCTTAGTCGTGTGGACATGCAAACGTGCCGCCTAAATATATACACATGGTTTTTTATATAAGTATAATTGAAAAGGATAATGAATGCTTCAACGTAAATTCCTTTGAACAGTAGAAAGCGTTGGTGAGAGCTTCCGGGCCATATAAGCCGACTTCTGATGGTGAAGATGAAAGCATGTGGCAGGGCAACAGATTGCCTCTTCTTTGGTAGGCAGATATTTCCCCAAGCAACTCCTTGACCTTAGTACAGAACGAAACGATTTAGACGTAATGTACTGGGCTTGCTGTATGCAACCTAACCCGGGCAGAACGGATGCAACCGCGACAGGAGAAAGATGGTCACCAATGGGTCTAAATTTAGTTAATCCATTTGGTGTGCCGTTGTTAAATACTACTATTTTGTTAAGAAGAGGGAGTTCGGCGGGCGAACGGGCAGGGGATAGTCAAGCGAGTTGGCTGCCACTCCTCCAGTTCCTCGAACTAACTGACAACAGCTTCGAACGCGAAGCGGCAAGCCTGTTTATACAAAGCCTCGCATAACTGAAAATTAAGAGAAATTGCATTGCAGCACATGATAAAATTCTGAAAGAAATTATAAATGCCCGAGTTTTTTCGACATACTTAATATAGTCGGCTAAGATCAAAAATTTACAACTCTGTTCAAAATCGCTTAAGAATACAGAAAAATGTGTAGGGGCAGCTAAAAGAGGGATGGTCAAACTGGTAGTGCTCAAATGAAATTTATCGAGCGGATGCCTCAAAATTGTCCTCGTTTGAAACTGAATAACTATCTCATTTGATACATCAAATAATCTGCTGGAGTGACTCCATCACAGATTAGCGGTCGTTCACATACACAATGTCAAGAAACACACATGACGAACGACCCAACTCAAGAGCTCAGCAGATGGGTAGGCGCAAAGGGTTAATTTATAAAAATCCGATTAACACAGTCACAAATCGATATTGATTTCACCATTATTTGCTATTGCTTGACTAGGGTTAAGGCGGATAATTTTACGCCACCACCAAACCCAGGGTTCATTCCATACCAGTGAAGTGCATATATTGCACAATGCACTGCACATGCAATGCACGCGTTAGCTTTCATAGCATAAATGATATGGAATAAGCTGTGAGTTTAGTGCTGGTGTATTACCCACCTAAACTCTAATTAAGCGACAACGAATAATAGTAAAAACATTGCCGATTTGTGTCGTTACTGATAAGATTGTTATAAATTAGCTCTTTGCACGTACCTATCTGTTCCGCTCTTGAGTTGGATTGTTCGCCATGTGTGTTTCTCGACATAGTATATGTAATCGGAGCATTCAGAGATGTTCACTTAAAGTAGCGTTATGAAAGCATCAGGTGGCTTTCATGCAAATCATCCATTGAAATCAATTGCGAGCCGATCATTCCACACGCGCTGTAGAATTTCGACAGCCTCCTTCCACTTGCACGAAGTCCGATAATTTGAGCCGAATATCGTCCACAAAGCATCAGTCTGTTTGAACCAACGAATCAGAAAAACCTGCTTAATTTTAGCCTACATTCCAGCAGTCTTACTTTATGAATATGTTTCGTTCAGTGCATCTGTTGTTTAAGTGTGTTTGTCGTTTGTTGTGTCGTTGTGTAGGTTCGACAACAGAATCATAACCCCTGTTTTCTCCACGTGTCATAGCCCGGCTGCACGTGTATATCCATATGCCGAAAATGGTGATAAAAATGAGACTCATCTCTCTGGACCTGAGGGAGCCCCAATACGACTGCGTTGGGTAGGAACGCTCGGGAGGCTCCACACCGAGACTCATGGAGTGAGCAGGATGAAAGGCCGTCTGAGTTTGTCATGTCAATCCACACTATTCATGGTCACTCAGTTCCAGATGCCCTCTCAATTCCAATAGACATGTGAGTAACGTGTGGGCACTACCTTAATGAGATAGATCACTCCATCGTCAGTTGAAAGTTTCGCCTAACTGAGTTACTGTGAGTTTCTACGCGGGATCAGACATGTATTTTCCGCATTAGATTCAGCGTGCAGTGAGTGAGCTGCAAAAATCACGATGTTATCAATTGGGATAGCGTTGGATGATCGGCAAAATTGTCTGTTGTGGAATGTTCAAGATTCTCGAGATGGCTGTGACTTTCATTCTCGATTCCTTTATGTCTGCTGTTGCCTGCCCACATCCCTGAGTGACTTCTGCCCTCCTGTGCATGCCTCAAGAGCACATGCACTAACCTGGTGCACAAATGGTATGCAAAACTGCGAATATCGCCAACTTTCTGATCCGGAAAAATCGCTTCAATGGTAAAACCGTTGCACGTATCCAGCTTTGAATCGAAAAAAATCGGTTCGATTTGTGGTGAGGTATAACATAGTAAAATTTTTCATGTATCCTTCAAAAAAATTATTGCGATTGAAAAGCGTTCCACCGATGACTTCCGACCGCTACTAAACATGACCCTAATTATTCATGGAAAGAGCTCATGAGTGGGGAACTTTTTTGTTATAGGGCTAAAAGGGGAAATCAAGATTGTTAATATTCGGACAAGTTTAGTCGCAACTAACTTCGGAGTCGAAAACAACAAACGCGTCAATATTAGCGACCCCCTGATTGGTCGCTAATATTGACGCGTAACGGTAGTATTTTCATAGCAGGGAACGAACCTGAATTTGCCTTTTCTGTATGCTATTAGTATCTAATACCCCTTATCAGTGCTCAGCAGCACTGAAGTCGCTGCAGCGATAGCCCGGACACTGGACAGCATTGGATTTTTAATGTATAATTACTATAGAAATCAAGAGCAGCAGATCGAGAATCACTCATTGTCATAAGCATAAGATGCTAGTGACCTGTGGTTGCTAGTGGTTTGTGCTAAAGCCTATGTTTTGTGTGGAATATTTAAAGCCAGTATAACTCTGTTCACTGTTTATACCAGAAAGTTTCAAATAATATCCTGTCACATACATGAAAGAAGAAGGAATTCCTTCAGTTACCGATACATTCTTCACTTTTCACGAAAAAATTCAGAAGATGTGAGGGAAACGGACCACATAGTGTACTAGCGCCTTTACATGAACATGACCATGTTCTGCGACCAGCGTTACCCGTTTCATTTGTTGGGTCAAAGATGCCATATACTGAAAATTGCTTGATGACTGCTTGTCAGGTTAGGCGACCCTTTTGTGCTTACTCGATCGGAATTGAGGACGTGACCGCATTAAGGGAAAGGGAGCGCGGCCATTCTATAGTGCTTATTCCGAAACGCAGAATCACTCGAGGAAAATACCTCTATTCTGTATTCTAGATATATAGTCCGCGGACAAGGAGCGCTATGATTGCTGATGCATTCGAGGCTGCTTATAAGAAACTTATTGATTATTCAATAGCGCTTGATATCTTACAGTATCTGAAATATGAGGAGGTATATTACATAGTTTTATGGATACCATATAGATTGTAACTCACTGAATGATTGGGGACATTCAGGAGTACTTACCATGGAGTACAGCAATGCAGAAACTTGAAAGTATGAGCGAAATGGGTGACTTTTTCAAAGGCAGGGAAGGTTCGACCTCGTACAAAGTTGAGATTGCTAACAAAATTTTTTCCGTGAGAGAGGGGAGCTCAAGTTGTGTAACAAGGCTTCACATTTCCAGGATTACGTGATGAACCTCCTTAGACATGTATATAAACGCAGTTTTTTCGAAGATGTAGCAATTCAAAGTAACGAAGAGGATTACATTCTCAAAAGGTATGAACTCCAGAATGTTGCATGCTCTATGTCACAGGGGTCATTTGCTCGTTTTGAGCCTCTCGCCTTAATCAAACCAAGGTGTATGCCGTAATATCTCCATGAGTTATTGGGTTGTAACATAAGTTCGTAGAGTTTTGTGTTAGGGTCATTTTATAACGATTCGCTTTGTTTTTTCTTGAAAGGTATATATTCATTGGAAAGAGCTCCTTCTCCACT